AAAAAAAAAAAAAAAAAAAAAAAAAAAAAAAAAAAAAAAAAAAAAAACCACAAACCAGTTATGCTGGTGTACACCTGTAGCTCTGGCTTTTCTGGAGACTGAAGCAGAAGGATTGCTTGAATTTCGGAGTTCCAGTTCAGTTTAGGCAACCCAGGGAGACCCTGTCTCAGAAACAAAGTTACTTACATAGCATATATTATCTTTTGAAGGATTAGACAATTCAGATAAACATAGCTTATAGGCAATTATAAGGAGATACTTTGTGGCAGTGTGGAGTAGTGCCAAAAGCTGGGACAACAGTAGCAATAGGGTGGTGAAGTCCAGTGGGGAATGCAGGGGCCTGGGTGCAGTATGGAGGACAAGGCAGGTGGGGAGCTGTTCAGTGTCTCTTGCCTGGTAGCCCAGGGGTCACAGATTGAGGAGGAAGGGAAGGAACTGACCAGGGTACTCTGAGTTTTCCTTGGGTGATTTGAGGCCAAGAAGAGCTGGTTGAATCCAGGGATTCTGGGCAGGAGGGTCAGCCAAGTTTCACTTGGGGCTCAGCCCTCTATCCCCAGGGCCTGACTGACCCTCCCATCTCCACAGGAGCGCCTGGCCATCCTGGACAGTCAGGCTGGGCAGATACGGGCCCAGGCTGTGCAGGAATCAGAGCGTCTGGCCAGGGAGAAGAATGCCTCCCTGCAGCTGCTACAGAAGGTACCTGCGTGGGTACTGGCTGGGGTAGGGGAAGGTGTGCCAGTGTGGACACATCACCAGGACTCTCCCTCACTTTCTCCCACTTCTCCTTGACTCAACCACCATGGGCTGCCAGGAGAAGGAGAAGCTGACCTTGCTAGAAAGAAGATACCACTCACTCACAGGGGGCAGGCCGTTCCCGAAGACCAGCTCGACCCTCAAAGAGGTAACACTTGGCTCAGCCTCAGCCTCAGGCCCAGGGCAGCAACCCGTGCCGCCTTCACCCCGGTGGCCAAGGTTGAGGGTGGGGGCGTCAGCCTGAACTGGAGAGGTGTGAGGGGGAATGGCCGTGGGATCTGAGATTTAAACCTGCTTGACTGTCAGGCGTTTCTCTGTTGCTTTTTGGGCTCTTACGAGCCTGCTGGTCTCACTGTCTGGGGCGGCTGCATATATACAAAGTGCTCAAGGGCCCTGGGTGGGTTTGGCAGGGCCAGGGCTGGGTGGACCGACCTGGAGGGCCAGCACAAGGATCGTGGGGATCCTGACCCTGGGGCTTGCTGGGCCTCCCTCTGCAGCCAGGTTCCCAGCTCAGAAGTGTTCACTGAGCCCTAGGTGGTTCTTTCCCAAGCCTGCACATCTGGTGTGTGAGGCCTAATTAGGACATACTTGGCCTTCTGACCCTTTCCTCCTGCCTGTGTCCCTCTACAAGTGACCAGGCCTGGGGTGGATGACTGGGCCGAGTGTTAGGGCTGAGTCCCCTCACGATGTACCCTTTCTGTAGGCTCAGTTCCTCATCTCCGAGTCCTCAGAGATGGGGCTGGGGACCAAGGTGCTGGGCCCATTCTCAGGGTGTTCTCAGACTGGGGGCTCTTCTGTCTTCTTAATCCCACCTGTTTCTACTCCACTCTGCCCCAAAGTACAAGAGGTAATCACAGCTAGCTGTGTGCTCTGCTTTGCTGGCTGCCTATCTGCTGCCCTCTGAGCTCCAAACTGTAACTTCCCAGGTCCTCGCTGAAGGGTGTGTGGCAATAAGCATTTGGCGGGCGGAGTTTGGTGGTATTTGTGTGAGCGTGCCATTTTGCTACCCGTAGGATGCCAAATGAGAGCATTGGTTTGTGTGTGTTCTGCATGTCATTCACTAGTTTCCGCATGTCATTCATAGCACATGGAACCTCCTGGCTCATTTTCATTTCCCGTGACTCTCAGAGGCCAGGGTGGCCCTGGAGCTAGGCCTGAGCAGGTACCCGGAACGTGGCAGGCTTGGGGCCCACTGCCTTGAGTGAGCATTTATTGTGGAGGCCTGCCCTGCCCAGCACCTAGATAAGCTCAGCTTCTAAGCATACTGACCCTGTCTTCCTGCCCACAGTCAAGCTCACCAGCATCTTTTCAAGTGCTTCCCCAGGCCAGTAGGCCATTTTCCTCCCAGGGCTTTTAGCTGCTTTCTGCTGTGGCTGCTGCTCAGCACTTACCTTGCTCAGGCCCTGGTGGTGTCCCTACCTCTCCCTGCTTGTGTCCGGCTCTTGTGCTGGTGATGGCGTGACAGGGGCCCTGGGGAGTAGTGTAAGTTGTGTTGCACTTGTGTGCACTGGGGATACCCAGGTGCTGGAGGGGTGGGCTCGTGAGGAGCTGGGGTCTGTGCCTCAGTGGGTTCCTAGAAGGCCCTCCTGGGCTTCTTTACCTGTCTCCAGCCCAGGGCTAGTTCAGGGATGGGCCTTTAGGACCTACTCGGGGCAGCAATGAAATGCCAAAGTGGTCTCAGGAGGAGCTGTCAACAGTCTGTCCGTCCGTCCACCCTTTTCCATTCCCACAGCCGACTGTGGCCAGGAGGACAGCCGAGCACCTACCCTGCTCGGGATTGTGTGCTGACACATGTGCCTGGCATGGAGTGTGGGGTGTTGGGTGCCAGGGTGGACCTCATTAATCTCTTCTCTGCCCCCCATCCCCGGGGTCCCTAGGAGTATATGAGCCTGGCAGAGGTTCTCCAGCTGTGCTCTCGCTTGGACCCCTATGCTTCTGCCACCTCCCCCAGCGCATTCACCCAGCCCCTGCCTGACAGTGAGGTACCAGCTGCCGAATGTGCCTGCCCATGCCCAGGGCCTCCTCGTTTGTGCCCACCATTGCACCTGGGGACCTCCATTGCACCTGGGGGTGTGGGGCAACAGCAGGGTCAGTCTTCAGGGAGAGAGAGAAGGGCAGCTGGCAGTGGCAGGGGCCATTACATGTGCTTCCGTTTCCTCCCGAAGCCTTGGGAGCTGTTCTTAGCTGACTGTGGCTCGGGGAGGGGCAGACCCTCTGCTGTAGGAGAAAGGCATCATTGGGCTGTCTAGGCTGGGCTCTCCAGGCTGGCCCCTGCTCTGCTTCCTACTCTTTCCCTCCCTCGTGGGCAGGGCCAGGTCTTGGGTTCCAGTCCCATTAACCTCTTGTATTCCCTCCTGCACTTGGCTGTCCCCCAAGTACGTGACGCTTGAGCAGCTAAAGGTGATGTGGGGCACTTCACCCAAGCCCCCAGCCCCCGCGCCAGGCTGGCCTCCCTGGGCCTCTGCCTCCCGGGACCGGGTTCCCACCACCTGCCTTCCTCCTGTGCCGCCCTCCTCTTCCTCCTCCTTCGCTTCCATCACGCCTTCACCCAAGGTTGGTGGTCTGTGTGTTCTTGCCACCCTCACCCAGTGGCTGGCATAGCTGTCTGTGCGTGTCTGGCCCTGGCTCACAGGCCGCTCAGCTCCAGGCCAGCCTGAGGGGCACGCCGGGTGCCTGCAGGCTCTGGCTGGCTAGCATAGCATGTGTCTGTTCTGGGAGTTGCACCCTGACTGTTTCTCTTTGCCTTTATCACATCAGGACAACTGTCATCTCACTGGTTTTCTCTTCCTTCTCTTTATCGCTCTCTTCCTCCCTCCTTTCCTTCCCGTCGTCCCCTTCCCTTCCTGCCCATTTCCCTGACTCGGTCTTCCTGTCCCCTTCCTCAACCCCCTTCCTCCTTCCTCATTCCCCTATCCCTTTCCCCTTCCTGTCCTGGCCCTTCCTCTCCATCCTTGCCCCCTCCCTGCCCCTCCAGATGGAGAAGCTGTTGCTCCCTGCTGTAGACTTAGAGCAGTGGTACCAGGAGCTGATGGCTGGGCTGGGGCCTGGCCCTGCTGCGGCCTCTCCTCGCTCTTCTCCCCCACCTTTGCCTGCCAAAGCTTCCCGTCAGCTGCAGGTAACCCCTTCCTACCAGTTCTTCCCAGGTCTTGCTCCTGTCTGCTAAGAGTTCCTCCTGCTGAGCCCTGGTCATACTGCATGCTGTGGGTAATCTGCTCAGCACAGCAAGGAGGGGCCTGTGGACCTGAGAAGGCACTGAGGATCTCCGCATGCGCAGTCGTTGGCTCTGAGGGCAGCTGGAGGGCCGGGCTCTGATGCCCAGGGGTGACGGTGGAAGGGGTTCTCCCCAGAGCTTCTCACCTAGGTTAGGGATGGCCACACTCTTGTCTTTCATGACTGGAATTACTATGTCCTGGGAGAAACAGCTCTGTTTTGTTCTCCTGGTCTTTCCAAGGGTGATACATGGAGGCAGAAAAGAAGAGGACAGAGTTTTTACTCAGAAATGACAACCCTGGGGACATACCCGTCTCCTGAGTGTAGTCATAGCAAGGGCGCAGCTGCTGACCATGGTGGGGAAAGGTACTTGGATAGTCCCCACCGACCCTCTGCGATGCCTGTGCCATTCAAGGGTCATTCTCCCCACATTCCCTTTGGGGGAGTTTGATTTGTGTAACTTGTGGTACCTCCACTGTGCCCTGCTGGCTGGAAGCCCTTTCATGTTTTAATTCACTCAGTCATCACCACAGGCCCAGGAGGTAGAAGATGTTAATTTTACAGATCAGACACTGGGACATGGAGAAGATAAGAAATCTTGCCAGGGCCACCATGAGAAGGAAGTAGCAGAGCATATGTGGGGAGTCAGGGTTCTTGACTCCAAAGGCGGTATTCACTGTGTGTTAGCGCTCCGAGGGAGCTTGGCGGGGGTTTAATCTGGTCCTGCTCCTTCCTGGGGCACACAGGCAGCTGAGGCCCAGAGCCAGGAGGTGCATAGTCCAAGGCTCTGCAGCCTGTTAGTGGCAGAGTTGGGACCAGAAGGAACTTGGTGTCTACGTGTTCTTCTGCACAGCTCTTAACTACTGGCATGGAGTAGCTCAGGTCCTTCTCGGGTCTAGGGTTGGGCCAGCAATGGGCCAGGGAGGAAGGGCCTGGAAAGGAAACTCAGCAGCCACAGTAGCTTGTGCCCTTTGGGTAGCCCAAGAGGTTCAACTCGCTTGTCACCTGGAGCCAGAAGGCCTCAGAGGTCTGGTGCTAGGGTAGGGGACACAGGGGTGGCTGCTAGTGGGAGAGCCAGAGTTTACCAGGCTGTGTTCCCTACAGGTGTACCACTCCAAGATGGATGGCGACGCCACAAGCCCACTGCCTCGGACCCGCAGTGGCCCCCTTCCCTCTTCGTCTGGCTCCTCCTCCTCCTCCTCCCAGCTCAGTGTGGCTACCCTGGGCCGTAGCCCCTCCCCAAAGGTCTGAGGACAGAGGGTGGTAGGGGAGTGGAGGCTGCCGTCCTGGGGTCCTGGCACGAAGCAGGGCTGCCCCATGGGCTCTAGGGCAGGGTGAGGTGGGCTGAGCTGCTGTCCCAGCGCTCTGTTCTCTCTGCAGAGTGCCCTGCTTGCCCAGAATGGCACAGGCAGCCTTCCTCGCAACCTGGCAGCCACGCTGCAGGACATTGAGACCAAGCGCCAGCTGGCCCTGCAGCAGAAGGGTGAGTGTCTGCGGTGCCAGCGTCCCAGTGCCCCCGGGACATCCCACACTTTTTACTAGGTGTTTCTCTTAATTGGGATTTGGGTGAAAGGAAGAAGTACAGAGCTTCTGGGATATTTATCAAAAGACTTGGAACTGGGGGCTCAGGATCTGGGGCCTGACAGCTTCCTTCCTAGAGAGGCCAGCCAGCATAGGAAGTATTTGTTGACCTGAGCAGGGCTAGATGTTGCCCTGCCTGGAGAAGGAGGATGGATTTAATGACTTCCAGAAGTAGTTCCCAGAGACATTGGCTCTGGGACCCAGCAGCCCTTGTGCCTGGGGTGTTTTGGTTGTTCTGAAAGCCCATGTCTGTGCCTCTCTCTCCTCTCGTCTCCTCTGTGTCTCTCTCCCATACCCTCTGTCCGGGGCTCCCCACAGCAGTCGAGTTGCTTCCTGCCGAGCCCCTCTCAACTGAGGACCCAGCAGGTAGAGCATTGGTCACCAAGGGCATTGCTTTGGCCAGGCAACCCTGCCCTGGCACCAGCATGATGCATCCTGCCCAGGTTCCCTGTAGGTTCCCGGGCCAGGCTGGGCTGGGGTGCCTGCTGGCCCCGCCCCTCCAGCTCAGCTCCCTGCTGCCCTTGGCTGTGTTCCTTGTCTTCCTGCTTTCCCTTCTGCTCCTGTTTGCTCTTGCTTCTGCATTGAGGGCTTGTGCTGGCACCCAGGGCTTGTGGGGCTCCTGTTGCTATCTCCCCCTCCCCCCCAGCAGGCAGGTGGGTGCATGTGTCCTGCTCAGCTGCTCAGGCTTCCACTGTAAGCTGGGGCCAGGTGCCCTGAGGGCCTAAGGATGCAGAGAACACTGCCCCAGACAGTGCACTGTGACCAGCTGGGCAGGCAACTGGAGCCGTGCGTGTTTGCCCATCTCTGCTGGCCTCCTCCCTCTGATGCTGCTCGTGCCCCTTCCCCTGGACAGGTGGGAACCCCCATGACTCCAGCTGTTCCTCCTGCAGGGCAGCAAGTAATTGAGGAGCAGCGGCGACGGCTGGCTGAGCTGAAGCAGAAAGCAGCCGCTGAGGCGCAGTGCCAGTGGGATGCCCTACACGGGGCGGCGCCCTTCCCCACCCTGATGCACCACTCCATCCTGCATCACCTGCCAGCTGGGCGGGAGCGAGGAGAGGAGGGCGAGCGTGCCTATGACACACTGAGCTTGGAGAGCTCGGACAGTATGGAGACCAGCATCTCCACTGGGGGCAACTCAGCCTGCTCCCCTGACAACGTGTCCAGGTGCTGCCCTGCCCAGCCCAGGGCCTCCAGTGGGCACCTGCAGCTCCTGACGCAACCTCCCTCCCCTATACAGTGCCAGTGGCCTGGACATGGGCAAGATCGAGGAGATGGAGAAGATGCTGAGGGAAGCTCATGCGGAGAAGAGCCGGCTCATGGAGTCCAGGGTGAGGTGACCTCCCAGGAGGCAGCAGGCCTGGGACCCAGAGAGCCCTGTGCCCACCAAGGGCCTGGCACCCCCTCAGCACCTACTGGCTGCATTGCATGGGCATGACATTGTAGTGGAGTAGAAAGCATTAACTGCTTTTTGTATTTTTAGGGAAGGGTCTACAGGGTGTTCAGGGTCTCACTATTAGAGTGGACTCGTAGTGATCCACCTGTTTACAGCCTCCCAAAAGCTGGGATTATGTGTGTGTGCCACCATGCCCAGTCTCAATTACTGTTTTAGCGTGCCCCAGGGGCAGGGCCGGCAGGGCAAGCAGGGCAGGCCCGAGGTTTGAACCCTGGACCCTGTGCCTACTTGCAGGTGCTTTAATCTGCTGAGCTATTTGGCCGGCCTAACTGATTCTGTTAACTTTGAACTGGCAGTGTATGTTGGGTGGTCTAGAGCCAGTCTGAGCTACATAGTGAGACCCTGTCTCAAACTACCAAGGAGGAAAAAAGGAAAGAGAAAAGCTTGTGTTCCTTAAATAGGCCATGAAAGGCTGGGCCAGACTGTCGCTTCTCAGCTCTCTGGAATAGAAAGCATCTCAGGAACCATGGTCCAGCCACAAGTTTCCTGTACAGGTACTTCCAGTCTGTGCAACCCTCTGCGGAAGCTTGGAGGCTTTGTTAGTTAATTAATCAATTAATTTATTTGTTTTTTTGAGACAGAGTCTTGCTTTGTAGTTCAGGCTGGTCCTGAACTCTCTGTGTAGTCCAGGCTGGCCTCGAATTTGGGACGCTTCTCCTGCCTTAGCCTCCTGAGTGCTGGGATTACAGGGCAGTGCCCCCATACCCAGCCCCTCTTCAGACACTGGGAACTATGGGAACTTTGGTCCTCTTGGGGATAGGTAGGAGAGCAGGAAGTAGGGGCTGAAGTGTAGGATGGAAGAGAAGCAGGAGTCCAAGCTAGAGCAGAGGTGTTGGCTGGGAAGTGGCTGTGGGAAATCCTGATCTCTTAACCTGGGCGTGCCACTGGCGCTTGGCAAAGAAGGACCAATGGTGGACACTTGGCATAGATAGGCCAGGAAAAACTCTGTCTGGGATTAAACAAAGGATCTGCAAAAGCTGGCTGAGGTGCTTATCTTTCTCTCTCTGAAATGCTTCTCACTGTGTGGCCCAAGCTAGTCTCCAACTCAAGGGCTCAAATGATTCTCTTGTCCTTGGCCTCCTGAGTGGGTGAGGCTGCAGGTGCACATGACTGTTCCTGGCGTTTTAAAAAATTATTACTTCATATGTTATTGAGATGGAAGTGAAACCCATGGAGTACAGTTAGCAGCTAGAGATTTTTTTTAAAGGGTTTGACCATTTAGATGAAAGACCAACAAGAAGAGAGCCTCTTAATCTTATTTACATCACAGTAGGGCAGATTTACAAGCATATCTCGGCAAATGGAGGGAAAGAAGATTGATCTATTAATTATTTTTTTCCTTTGGTACAGGGTCTCACTACACAGCTCAGACTCATAGTGCTTCTGCTATTTTTAGCCTCTCCAGCTCTGGGATTGCAGGTGTGCACCAGCACACCTGGAGTTAGTGGCTGGCTCAGAGGGCCCAGGGGCAGGGCTGGTGCGGGATGTGGTGTCAGGGATTGAACCCTGGTCCCTGTGCTTGCCTAACAGGCACTTAGTCCCCTGAGCTATCTTGGCGGCCCTATTCTGTTAACTTTGAACTGAGAAGATATGTCAGATGGCATGGAGCAGTGGTGGCAAACCTATGGCGCACATGCCACAGTGGGCTCTAAAAGATTTGCCATCAACTTGGGCCTGGTGGCACATGCCTGTAATTCCAGCATTTGAGAGGCTGAGGCAGGAGGATAGCTGTGAGTTCACAGCTACACACATAGTGAGTTCAAAGTTAGCCTGAGCTACACAGCGAGACTCTGTCTCAAAAACAAAAAACGTTCGCTGTCATTGGTATGTAGCATTTGTCATTGAGGCATATAAAGTTTGCCGATTTGTTCTGTATGTACTAGTTGTTTTAGTGATTGTTAAAGTTACTCCCTTTTTAGGTGAGCTGGGGATTGAATCCAGAGCCTCACAACCGAGCTGTTTCCCCAGCCCTTTTTATTTTAAGTCACATTATCCTGCTAGGTCTCTAACCAGCCCAGGTGGAGTTCATATTTGTGATCCTCCTGCTTCAGCCTCTTAGAATGCTGGGATGGTAGGCCTGTGCCACTCTGCCCAACTTAAAATTTTCTTGTAATAATTTCAACTGGAATGTTCGTCTCCAATCTTACTTTTCTCCAACAGAGCTTATAATGTGGAGTTTCAAAGGACCTTAAGTTGGTGATTGTGGAAGGACTATTGAATATACCAGCTGTCAGAAAAAGTTAAATAATTTACATTCTAGGACTTCAGCTATAATTATAAGAGCCGGGTATATTTAATAAGTGCTACTTGCCTGTTGGGATCAATGATCGGCATTTATAAATAATATCTTGTTTAATTTTCACTATAATCTCAGGAGTAGGCACATTTATTTACTTATTTATTTTGTCTTTCTTGAGACAGGTTCTTGATATATGCAGTTCAGGCTGGCCTTGAGCTCACTTTGTAGCCCAGGCTGGCCTTAAGCTTGCAGTGATCCTCCTTCCAGCCTCCCAAGTGCAGAGGTGACAGGCGTGTCCCCTACCCCCAACCCCATTTGTAGTAGGCACATTTAACCCCATTTTCCAGAGACAAAAGAGAATTTAAATGATTTTGCCTGGGTCACAGCCCACAGTGGTGACACAGCCAAGGTTTAAAGCAAAGCCAGTCACACTTTAAAGCACATGTCCTAAGCCTGCAGAGCTGTTGGAGGGGGTGGCTTTGGGGCCAGTGCCTCCTCTGCCAGGCCAGCACCTGTGGTAGGCAGTTTCTGTGGCTCATCTGGGCCAGAGGAGGGCCAGTGGGGGATGCTCAGAGCCCTGACGCCTGGCTTTGGGGACAGGAGCGTGAGATGGAGCTGCGGCGGCAGGCCCTGGAGGAGGAGCGGCGGAGGCGGGAGCAGGTGGAACGGAGGCTGCAGAGCGAGGGTGCCCGGAGGCAGCAGCTGGTGGAGAAGGAGGTCAAGATGCGAGAGAAGCAGTTTTCCCAGGTGAGCGGGGCTTGAGGGTGAGGCCCTGAAGGAGGTGGGCTCTCCTGGCCCCCGGCTGGACTCTCAGGCTGCTCTCCAGAGAGATTGCTGTTGGCTTTGCACAGGCAGCTCCCTCCTGGGATTCTTCAGCCCCGGGAAATATTGGCCTGGTGCTGCTGGTTCAACCTGTGCAGGTGATGTTGGGTGGATGAGAGGAGTGAGTCCAGGCAGGTCTCCCTCAGATGGGGGCTGGAAGCAGACATCAGGGTGGCCTCACCTCTGCTGTGTGCATCTGCCTATCACCCTCCCTCCCCTTCCTGCAGCCCCTCTTCACATGACATCCACGATGTCCTGGCCTTCACCCCACAGGGCCTTCTAGCTCCTGTCCCCTCCATCCACGGATGACCTCACTCTGCCTTTGGTTCATGTCTCTGGGGGACCGTGGTAGATTCTCCTTGGACAGGAGAATCCAAACCAGCCGTCATTCAGGAGATGTGAGCAGGTGGAAGAAGTGGGGCTGAGTGAGGGCCCATTCTCTGGCCCCAACCAAGCGGCCCTGTGAGGACCCACACACACTGTCCCCTGGGGCTGGGTCTTCATAGGCTTCCCCAGGTCAGCTTCCACTGGGGTCTGCCTACCCCACAGTATGACTAACAGCTGGAGAGCCCTCATTTTCTACAAGGCAACAACATAAACCCTAAGGACAGGTCATCTATCTGAGTTTGGGAATTAAGAAACAATCAAGAACTCCTGAGTTTTACCTCCCTGTTTGGAATCTTTGTCAGTTGCCTCCTTCTCTTTTCCTACCTCAGCTATGACTGTCGGAGCCTCGCTGTTCCTGCCTGTCCCTGGCCCTGGGACACAGGCATTGCTGGGGTCTCTCGTGGATGAGGCTGGGTCAGCCCATGCTAAGCGTTCTTCACAGCCATCGTCTGTTTTGTTTTATTTTGTGATGCTTTCTCTCCTTGCCATTTTAAGGTTCTTATGGGAAAGGAGGAAGAGGCAAACACTCTGGTTGACTGAGAATTCTAGTTAGTATTAGAGGTGGAGTAGATGTTAGTGATTATCTAATTTAAAGTCTTTTTACATATGTGTAGGGAAACTGAGGCCCAGAGTTATGTGATCTGAACCGCATCCCTTGGATAGTCAGAGGACTTCTCTACTTCTCTTTTCCTGCCGTGCTGGTACAGAGAGAAAAACTGGTTTTGGATGGGTGATTTTTCAAACGATAATAGGGAACCTCCAAATGACATAGGGAAAAATGATCTCCCGACCTGACCTGGACAAGTTTGTGTTCTCTAAAACCGAAGAATGAATTTTAGGAACAAACGGAGGTTATGAGCAGAATATATTTAATGAAGGAAAGAAAGCTCCTGTTCAAGAGAGGGACAGGATGGGAGCCCGAGCGGGTAGTTCCCCCCGGGAAGCTGTCTCTTCCAGGGACTTTTGTAGTGTAAAACCATGTGGGGCTAAGGTGGAGAGAATGGGAACTTGCTTAGGTGGATGTGGGGTGGGACAAAACTATGGTCACCCAATGGGATTACAAGCACCATTGCTCAGGTAAAATTGATTAGGCCCAGGACCAAATAGGGTAGCGAGTCACGTAGCAAGCGGGCATGAATGTAAAAAAGGACCTTATCTGGTGGCCTTCAGACAATGATTCTTCCTGAGTAATGAGCAATCCTGGATGCCAACCTTTAGGGAGGTTAGCATTTGTTTGATCTTTGGGTCTGGCTCACAGCAGGAGCATCTCCCACAGTTGTAAGGTATCTGGTCTTTGTCATTTCCTTCGAGGGCCTGACCTTGTCTGACTGCCTGTAATATTTCTGTGTAACTCGACTGCCTGCAACAATGCCAGGGATGGAGTCCAGGGCATGGTACATGCTAGGCACGTGCTTTGTCATTAAGCACACTCCTAGCCCTAGAGAGCACATTTCTTACTGGACTTCTTTTCCCAAAGCATGTTCATATGTGGCCTTTGTTTTATTCTGTCCAGCCCAGCAGGGGCACTGACAAGAGCAGGATGGTTGTTTGTTGGTCGTAGGTGGGGGAACTGAGTCACCTAGTGTAATGGCTGAGTCTAGGTGGAGACAGTGTGCTCAGTCTCCACTCTTGTTATAGGCTCTACAAAATCAGAGTGACAGAGTTGGGGTGATGTGTGTAGGGTACTGAGCATAGCACTTGGGAGCGATGTTCGGTTCAAGGGGATTCTGGACCAAAGCCAAGGGGATGGGAGAGACAGATGGGGAAAGAGAAGAGACTCTTCTAACCCTGCCCTTTGCCCCAGGCACGGCCCCTGACCCGCTACCTGCCGATCCGGAAGGAGGACTTTGACTTGAAGACCCACATTGAGTCGTCTGGCCACGGTGTGGACACCTGCCTGCATGTGGTGCTCAGCAGCAAGGTACTGGGCTTGGAGAGTCCAGGTTGCTAGGGAGAGGACCTTGTGGTCCCAGCCTTGGGACAGTGATGTCACTTCCGTCCGTAAAGTAAGCAGGTCTGGGTCCTAGGACCTGATGTCCACAAAACCAGGCACAGGAGATGACACATGCATAAGGCGGCTGTGCGGGGAGGAGGCTTGAGGCGTTGTTCATCAAGGTCCTTTCTCATTCCTGCTTGTCACCAGGTCTGCCGTGGCTACTTGGTCAAGATGGGCGGCAAGATCAAATCATGGAAGAAGCGCTGGTTTGTGTTCGACCGGCTCAAACGTACCCTTTCCTATTATGTGGGTGAGTTCCCATAGGACATCCCTGGGGGCAGCCAGAGGTGGGGCCCGAGATAGCTGGGAAGGCCAAATTTCTGAGTAGGGGGTTACAGGCTCAGTCTACATCTTGTCCTCTTCTCCCTGAAAGTATGGTGTATGTTTGGTCCATTCATTCACTCACGTACACAGTCAGCAGTATTACTGGACATCTGACAAATTGCAGGCAGTGGTGCAGGTGCAGGAGGTAAGCTGTCTTTCTTGGAGCTTGCAGCCAGGAAGACAGATGTTGAGCAGTTGATACAGAGCACGGTGGGCTTGCTGACAGGCACTGTAGGGGTTTGGGCTGGGTTGGGGACCCCCTTGGGCAAATTCCCCTGGAGACTTCAATGTGAACAGTTAGTTACACAATGCCAAGAAGCTCTCAGGACAGCCAGGGGACAGGCGCCTCACCCATCCCACTCCCTTAGTCCCTCACACCAGTCCCTTATCAGTTTCCCATCTCTGGAATTCCCTCCAGACCTTTCCATTTGTAGCATGGGGTGCTGGATCATTCCCTAGTCAGGAGAGGCCACAGTATGCTGTAGGAATAGTCCTCGAATCCTAGAGGCTCCAATCCAGTTTCTTTTTCTGCTTTTTTTTTTTTTTTTTAATTTTTTTTTAAATTTTAACATTTAGTGTGTGTGTGTGTGTGTGTGTGTGTGTGTGTGTGTGTGTGTGTCCAGCTCAGCCCAACAGGGGGCGCGGCTGGCTGGCATGTGGTGCTGGAGGATTGAACCGCGGTCCCTGTGCTTTGCCAAGCTTGTTCCAAGTAGGTGCTTTAGACCACTGAGCCATCTCTCCAGCCCCCTCTGCTTTGTTTTGATTTGTGCTGCTGGGGATTGAATCCAGGGCCTTTGCCTTGAACTACATTCACGGCCCTTTTTTATTTTTTATTTGGAAACAGGGTCTCACTAGGTTGCTATTTATCCAGGCCGGGTTTGAACTTGAGATCCTCCTGTCCCAGATTCCCCAGGGCCTGGGATTATATGTGTGTAATAGGACACCCCACCAGTTACTTCTTCCCACTAGGCTGCTGTGCACTGAGTAGATGGGGCTCCCATTCCCCATCAGCATTGTTTTTTGCTTTCCACTGTGCTTTCTGAGAATACTGCGGAGGGAAGAGAGAGGCTTAAGTAGAACTTGCATTGCCAGGAAATGGCTCTGCCAGGAGGTGACGCAGACGCAGGCAGAGCCATCTTACTAAAAGCCTAAAAATGGGAAGGGACGTGGGGTGTGGTGCCAGGGATGCCCAGGCTTGGAGCACCCTGCTTCCCTCTCCAACCTCTGCTTTATCAAGTATCACCCCTCCAAGAAGTCTTCTCTCATCCCTGGGGCCCTGGGTGTGGAGGGACAGAGACACAGATGTCCCCATCTTCTCACCTGGGCTAGGAAGGCAGGAGGTTTGTTGGGAAAGGGAGAAACAGGCCTGAGAGAAGAGCTACATTGTGGATATGTTGGAGTTGCATCTCTGGGACGCCTGGGTTTAGGAGAAACCCAGGTCAAGGTTAGAAGCAGAGTGGTAGCTTAGTCTGTTGAAGTAATAATCACAACAATCCCAATAACAGCAGATCATATTTATCAGTCTTTGTAGGAGCTGTGCTGTGCTCAGTATCCTATACACATCATCTCATTTAATTTTGGTACGAGCCCCATGAGAAAAACCACTATATTTATACCCATTTTGCAAGTAAAAGTGAGGCTCAGAGGTGTTATGTATATTGCCAAGGTCTCACAGCTCCTTAGAGGCAGAGCAGAGAGGAAAGAGAACTGCATCCGGCACAGGCCTACCCTTGAGGGGTAAGAGCAGAGACCAGCCCAGGCAGAAGGGGCAGGGGCAGGACGCCAGCACCGGCCGCATGTGGGCTGGCGCTTGGCAAGTGTGACCTTACTTAATGTCTGTGAAGCAAAAGTAGTTCAGGCGGGCAGTGGAAACAGGGAAGTAAGCCAGCCAGAGAAGCTGGCATTTGCAAATAGGAGGTGTCACTGGCGACAGTGAAACCTGCAGAAGGGACTAAGAGCATTTACGAGGTGCATGGGGCAGGAGCCCGCTTGTCCAAGGTCAAGGTTAGGTGGGTGGTTGGGAAGTGGGGGCAGGAGTGTGTTACTATTCACCATGGAGGAAGAAGCCTGAGGCGTGGCCAGGCCTGGAGCCAGGTCCTTGTCCTGAGGAGGAAATGGTGGAGTTGGGCATGTGGCAGGGCAGGGTCAGGTCCCAGTGTACCTTGCCTGAAGGGTCTGTAGCCTCCTGCTGCTCATGGAAACCCCATCCCACCGGATCAGATTAGACAGCACTTCTCTGAAGTCTTCCATGGTGTAGTGTCACAGGAGTGGCTCCTGTTCTCATCTGAGCTCTCACAGTGACCTGGGGCGTGTCTGCCATGTGACATCAGCCTGGGGCATAACGATGTAGTGACGGAAATCACGTTGGGTGTGACTACTTGAGTGTATCCTGACATGTTTACTGCTGAGCATCCTGACAGCCCAAGACAGTGTGCTGTGGAGTTCCTAACTGTACCAGCGAGCAAGCAGCCTGCCTGTGTGTGCCTCCTCCCACGCGGCCTCCGCTAGCACGGCAGACACGACAGGATGCTCAGCCATATCCCGTATCCCGTCATTTCTGAGTTTGTCGAGGGAAAGTGCAGGGGAACATTCTGGGGTGTGAAGAATGATCTGTGAAGGGACCGCTGAGCAGCTCAGCCTGGCTCCTTGGAACCTGGGGTTCATGCAGAGGAGGGGGTGAGGCGAGCTGGAGGGGCGCGTGGGCCGCAGTCTGTGAAGGGCCCTTGCCAAGCCAAGCAGGCAGCCAGTTCAAGTCTGTCGGCTGGAGCAGCAGGGTTGCCTTCTGAAATTCCTCCCACAGCACGGGGTGGAGGAGGACCTTACTGCTTTCTGTCACTTAAGTTGTTTTTGGTTTTGTTTAGTTATAAGGACTTAAACTCAGGACCTTGCGCTTGCCAGGCAGGCGCTGTACAGTTGAGCTATCTCTTTTCACCTGAGTTTAGTGATTAGCCCAACTTTTCTGTGACACTCAGACTCTTGGGTGAGAAAGTCAGTTGTTTTTTGCCCGAGCAGTTTACAGCACACAGGGAGGCCCAGGCCCTGACCTTTCCCTTGTGCTCCTGTCCCCTCTGCCTCAGAGATTGCCTGCTCTGGCAATTTCCTTCTGCGACCTCGGTTGTCACATCGCCTGAGGCAGATTGTTGCCTTGTCCTCCAGGCTCACACTCGCTAACTGTATCCGCATAATTCAGAAATCAAAATGTGTGAAAAAGCCTAAGTGGAGAAGGCCTAAGTCGAACTACCTGTTGGTAATGTCTTGTATATTTTTCTACGTAAGAGGTAGTAGACAATACATTCCTTGTTTACCACCTAATGTGTTTTAGAGGTCTTTCTATACCAAAAATATCTGTGTCTAGGTATTTGTATCACTGGCTCAAAGGACGAGTGCCTTTCTAATTTTGATAGACATGACCATGGGTTTGTACCAGTTTATATCCCCCTACATTATTTCTCCACAGCCTTGCCTAAGTACAGGTGTGTTTTTGCTGTGCTGATGACTGGGTAGCCAGTGATGACACACTCGTGTCTGATGACCATCTCTAATGGCTAGTGGAGCTCAGCATTGTCTAGGTCTTCAGGCTCCCTGTGGGCTGTTTGGGAGTCTGGGACTGGAGGCTCAGGCCCACGGCGCTGCTGCTTTGCTTCTGGAGTCCGCAGGCCTCCTCAGCCTGGCCCCTTTCCCTCTGCAGACAAGCACGAGACGAAGCTGAAGGGGGTCATCTACTTCCAAGCCATCGAGGAAGTGTACTATGACCACCTGCGCAGTGCCGCCAAGGTCAGAGGCAGGGAGCAGCAGAGGGCAGGAAGGCGGTCCTAGGGAAGGGAGGCTGGGGGCACTCTAGGAGCTGAGGCCGCAGCCTGCCCTCTGCGGTGGGCGTGGCCCAGGCCTTGTTCTCTTTGTCAACTTTCTTCTCTCCCTCTCTCCTTCCCAGAAGAGGTTTTTCCACTTCACTATGGTGACCACTGAGGTACCCTGCCCCACATGCCTGTAACCAGAGCTGCACATTAACACTTCCTTGACCCCCTCAGCCCTGACCCCTGACCTGCCCTCCCTCTAACTTGCCTCAGGTCTGAGGGAAATTGGAGCTTGAGTGTACTTGTTGCCTCCTCCTTCTCTGGAGAAGGCAGAAGGATGTCACCCTTTGGGGACAGGCTGTGCAGAAGGGAGAGCAGAAGGGGTGGAGGTGCCTCAGAGTGAAGTTGGGAAGTTGATAAGCTGGAGTGTTGGAGGCCGGGGCCAGCCTCCTTCCCACCAGCCCTCTGTGCCTGCCCCAGCCCTGACTGCTGCTCTTCTGCTGTCCTGGCCTTGAATCCTGCGCATAGCTTTTCCTGTCTGCCTCTTCTTTGCTGAGAGACTGTCCTCACTAGAACAGCCCTCTGCGACTCATTCTTACATCCGCTAGTGAACCTGGGAATGCAGGGAACAGAGCTCCCTGACCATTGTGCCCTTGCCAGGCCCCTGGGGGCTTAGAGAGCAGCTCTGCACTGGTATAGGAGGGGGCACTTTAGCCTGGAGCCATCGGAGTAGTGGGGATGAGTTTGGGGCCATTAAGGACTCAGCCCCTGAGTGCCAGGGCCTCCTGGGTGCTGTGGGGGAAGACGGCAGAGGAGGCAGGATGTTCTGGGCCTGTGTGAGCCCCATCTTGGGACCTTCCTCCCTTTCCTCCACAGAGTCCGAATCCAGCTCTCACTTTCTGTGTGAAGACCCACGACCGACTGTACTACATGGTGGCCCCCTCTGCAGAGGCCATGCGCATCTGGATGGACGTCATCGTCACGGGTGCTGAGGGCTACACTCAGTTCATGAACTGACCCCCGTGGGCCTCCTGGACCCAGGCCAGCCCTAGGACCCTGCCTAGCACCTGTTGTGGTGCTCACCCTGGAGACAGAGCCACACGGTGGGAACCAGCCCCACAGAGGCTGGGCGTACAGAGTGCCACCAGGGCTTTCGTGCAAGAAGACGTAATATTCTGTAAGGAGCTCAGGCCTGTGAGGTTCTGAACTCAGAAGAGGGAAGCTGGGGAGGGAATTGCTGGCTCCTGGGAGCCTGGGACTTGTAGGATCTGTTCAGGGTTGTGCCTGGGCCCCGGGGCTGAAGAGCTCTCTGAGAACTCAGCTCTGACCTGGCACCTGCTGGCCCCAGCCTGTTTTCTCTGTAAAGGACAAATTACGGTACCAGAATCTGCCAAAGATCCCCTCTTGCCTCACCCCGTCGAGGGGCTGAGCAGAGCCACATCTGGAGTTGGGCAGCAGCCTGGGCAGCGTGCTCTGCCTCGTCCTCCCTCATTTATACTTTTTATTACTTGGCCCAAAGGCCAGAGACCTCAAGTGTTAGCCTTGAGGTCCCAGTCCTATCCCCTTGTTGGAGACCCATCTCCATGGTCTCCATGGTGACTGCTCCATTGCCATGGTAACAGTACTAATTGCCCTTGCTCCGCAGCTCAGCCCACTGCTTCAGCTGTGGGCCATCTGAGGGTACATGCCGTCAACTCTCCAGCCCAGACCCGTGGGCACCTTGTGGGGGGAAGGGACGAACACCTGCTCCCTGCCTGTGTCTCCAGCCCTGGCACAGCCTGCTGCCCCACCTCACCTCTCCCTTCCACTGTGCCTTGCTTAGAGCCAGAAGGGATGATGCTGGCGATCCGCGGCCACAGGAGCAGTGCCATGCATGGGAGAGGAAGCTAGGGGCCATCCTCTGGGTGCTGACAGAGAGGGAGGGTGGCTCAGCCGAAAGCCTGAGTAGGAGGGAACTGCAGACGGAGGGGCCTGCATTCCGGCCACCTCCTCCCTTCTGCATCTGAAGGGTGATGGAGAGTGGAGGACCCGGCCTCAGCTGTCTGCACTCAGCCCTTCGCGCCTTAACACTAAGCCCACCTCCCCTGCCCTCATCCCCAGCCCTGGGCCCTCAGCTGCTTGGGCCTGAGCTGGGTGTTTTTCAGTATTTGTAAGCATTTCAGCAGAACAATAAAGCATTTGAGCTATGTCTTTGGGTAGTGTGGGGCTGGGTTCCTTGGGGTGATGGGGCTAGGGTTTCCTCTAAGAAAAGGACATGTTCCCCTGTGTCGCCAGGAGGACCCTGGGTCTCAGCCCCTGGCATCCATGTCATTGAGGACAAGCTGGGAGGTAAGATGCAGAAGAAAGGGAAGGTGCATTTTTTTCTGGTGCCTGGGATTGAACTCGGGGCCTTCTGTTTATGTTTTGAGACGGTTTCTGTTACCACTCGTAGTGCTGACCTCACAGGCCTGCACTGTGACACTAGGCTGGGCGCAGAGGTTTAATGAGGCAGGAGCTGGAGCCAGATGACCGGCTGGTAAACAGATGTGAAGCCACCCTCCTGGTCAGTCCTTGTGGCTACCATGATCACGGTGACAGGAAACCCAACAGGAGGTGGAGCAGGAAGGTGGCCACCAGGCAGTGAGGGGTCAGGAAAGCCAGCTGGGTCCCTGAGGTCAGCCGGTCACCGTAGCGGTCCATTAGCATCATGGCTACTCCATTTGTCCAGCCAAAGCCCTCCTGGAGAGAGTCAGGGCCAGTGGGCCAAAGTCTTGGGAAGGGCCAGAGAGATAGCTCAGCAGTCTAAAGCACCTGCTTAGGCAAGCTCAGGCAAAGTGCAGGGACCATGGTTCGATCCCTGGCACATGCTGTACCAGCCCTATCCACAGGGTGGGCTAAGCCAGCCACACACACACAGAAATTATTGGTTAGTTTCAAGTCCTGTTTTGGTGACACGTGATTCCCCCCGCCCCAGGGATAGCAAAGACCACTGGTCAGTTTTCCCTTGGGCTCACATAGAGGTGACCACAGCAGGACCTGAGGGCTCATGTCACCTTACAGGGTGACAGAGCCAGGGTCCCCTGTAAGGTGTTGGCCAGCTCACCTGAACTTCATACTCCCCTCCACCACCTGGCTGTCCATTGCTGATGTCATACTGGGGAGCAGAGCAGGTTAAGGTCACACTGTCCCCAGGCCTCCACCCCAGCCCAGGGCTGCAAACCACGGAAGTCCTTGGGGAGAAACTGTTCTGTCCCCACACAGTGCCTGCCCCTACAGTGCCCCCAAATGACCACTGGGTTCTGCCATGGCCCTGGCCAGGGTGTCCTAGACTTTGCAAAGCTTTTTGCTTCCACCTCACCTGGGCGGGGACAGGGACCTCCCCACATCAGCTCACCTTCTCATACATGGCTGACTTTTGTGAGTAGATGTCAAAGTTGGTTTGGATCCAGTTCTGGGCCAGCTGGAAAGCCACTTCCTGGGTCCGAGGTGAATGTGACTTGGCCAAGCCTAGATTCCAACCCAGCAGGGCCTGAGTCTCCAGAGCCCCCACCCCACGTGGGCAGAGGCCAAGCCTTACTGTCCCCAAGGAGGAAAGAGGCCTGGGCCCTAAGATCGCCCCTCTGTGACCACAGGCCAGCCTGCCTGTGACCCGGGTGCCTGGGTTTAGAGAGAGGAGGCTGGTTCCATGGATAGGTGGGGATGAACCTAGTTGCTGATGGGGTGGGGGCAGGAGACAGGAGCAAGGAAAGGTCGAGGGGCTTTGCAGCCCTGTTCATGCCTCCCCAGTACCAGGGCATCCAAGTCCTGCACCCTGGATCTGGACCTGGTGGGTGCCCCTGCCTGACTCCCTACCTCTGATGACCAGGTCCTGCAAGGGGGCCCAGCCATTGGGGAAGTCCCACTGCTGGCCCGTGTTCCGGAGAGAGGCTGGGATCCCATACTGGTAGGTCAGGATCTGGCTGTCCTAGAAGGTTCCAGGCATTGCTGTGACTGTGGGTGGAGTCTGGCCAGGGAGCCAGGACCCTGGGCCCTAGGAAGCCAACTGTCCTCCCTGGCCCTTCCCTCCTTGGCTCTCTGCTGTCCCCTGGTGGCCACAGAAGGACCAGCAGGGTGAGACAGGCACAGGCAGCAAGTGTGGCTGGTCCTGCCTGGTCCCCATTCAGTCAGGAGGGGGCTGTCCTCTCCAGGGGCCATAGCTGCCCACTGTCCCCTCACCTCTAGGTATTTCAGAGCCTTGTCCACATCACCAGAGTCAGAGAAGCAGCCGGCCCAGAGTGGGCTGAGGTTGGATGGATAAAACTCAAAGTTCTTCTTCCTAGTCTCAAGGTCATAGTCGAACCAGGCTCCCTTCTGCTCATCCCACAGGACAGCCTGCATGGCAGTCACGCGCTGATCCCGCAAGCTTTTGTACTTGGCAGCCTGGACGTTGTCCCCTGGAAGGCACTGCCTTTAGGCTGAGCCTGCTTTTGGGCCCCATGCCTTACATGGTGTTACTTTGTCTTGTTTTCTCTTGTTTCCGGGTGCTGAGAATGAAGCCCTGGGTCTTGTGCATGCATGGCACATCCTCTACTGAGCTACTCTGTGAGCCCCAGCTCTGCCTTGGCCTCCTCCATTTGTCCTCCTCCTCAATGGCCAAGCTACTCTGAGGGCCCCCGGGGGCTGGGTCTCCCTGCAGCTCACACTTTGTGCTTGCAGTTTGCAGAGTCCCTGAGCAATGGTGTGTACCCTGGGGTCCATCCTCCATGGGACATTGGCCCTCTGAATTTCCTGGCTCAGAGGGGCCCGAGGGGCGCACTGGGAAGATAGCGTGGAGAGCATCTGGGTGCGCAGACTGGAGTGTTTCCTGCAGGCGCCAGAGGCCATCTCAGTAGGAAGGGGAAGGCAGTGTGGGGAGGTGGCAGCTCCATCTGGGAGCTGTGTGGAGGTGCAGGGTCAGCACTGACCTCTCCTGGAGAGGTCCATCACCCTGTGGAGCTGCCAAGGTGGGGCCACTGGCCAGCACCCTCCCCCAGTGCTCACCCAGTCTGGCATAGAAGTTGCTCATCAGCTCCTCCGCCTGGCACAGGAAGGCGTTCAGGTCAACTGGCACCTTTTTGCTGGTGTGGATGCTGCTGAGCAGGTCAGGGTTTGGGCTTCCAACCAGCCAGCGGGAAGAGAAGTCCCAGCCTGACTCAGCCCCAGCCTTGAGCTCGGACCACAGAGCCTCTCGCTCCCCTGTAGGACAGAGAGGGGGCCCAGGCCAGCCCGGCTGCAGGACAGTGTAGCGGCAGACTGAGTCCTGTCATGTACCTTAGAGGTCCAGCTGCTACCCTCTGCCCTCCTTCCAGGGGTTACTCACCTACTGGCAAGGTGTTTGCCAACTCCTCATCTTTGCTATAGGACTCTGGCCTGGCAGAGGGAAGAGGTGGGCAGCAGTAGCAGGCACTGAGTCCTCTGCTCTAACAGAAGGTCCAGCCCTCGGATTCAGCGGCCCAGGGGCCCCACAACCCTGGGTGGCCGGGTGTACTCAGTGTCACATTTGAGAGGCTGGACTAAATCCCTCTTCCTCCAGCCCTGTCTTTGTGATGCCCATACCAGAGTGAATGACCACAGCCTGACACTTGGGCTGGTCAGTTCCTCACCTGGGTCCCCCATAAGGGACATAATAGCGATTCAGGATGTAGCTTTCTCCTCCCAAGTTCACAGAGACGGTCCTGTTCACAGTCCAGAAGTCCAATTCCAAGGCTAGGGTCTTGATGTTCTCCCTGGGATGGAGTCCGGCATGCTACACCTTAGCCTGGGCAAGCCCCCCACACCGGGAGGTCTCAGGAAAGGCTTGGGCCTGCAGGGCAGTGCAAGTGAGGTACCCACCGCAGGAAGGTGGTATCGTTGGTATGAGTCACGTATCGATCCATCATGAGGGTCAGGAGTGGGGGGTGGCTTCGTTGCAGGTAGTATATGCGTCCACCATTGGGGATATGCCCATAGCTGCCGAGACAGGGGCCTGCTGAGTTATCCTCTGCCTAAGCCCATGGCACATCCACTTGTCCAGCCCTCCTCTTACGTCTTGACCAGGTCCAGAAAGTTCTGCAGCATTCCCCTCACGGTCTCAGCCATCTCAGAGAGGAGCAGACCCTCTATGACCCAGTAAGAGTCCCTGGGGAAGGACAGATAGACATCACCCCCTGTTGCCCTCTGCCCCACATACCAGCTAGTGGGGCACTGGCTGAGAGCTCCCTAAGATTGTTGGCCGCTGTAGGAACCCTGGCCTCTTGGGTCTGGGTACTAACCAGTAGTAGAACTCAACAAAGCGCCCGCCGGGCACAATGAAGGGGTGTTCTGAGTAGATCAGAGAAAATCGCTCAGGGTGGCTGAGAACTTCTGGCTTCATCTGGAGTCAGGAGAGAGGAACAGCGGAGGCATGGGGGCTGCACAGGGCTGGTGTGGAGGCGCTGGAGCCAGGCTGTGTCTGCTGCTGCTGAGCTGTGTGCTCAAGGACCAGCTGCTAAAGCCTGGGTGTCCTCACCCCGCGCCCCCATGGGCCAGCCTCTGATGCCTCCTAATGGTGTGTAGAAGCCCACCACTCAGCTTGGCACTGGACAGGTGTTATGGCTCATATCTAGATGTCCCCCCAAAGTCTCATGGACTCCTAGATGGGGCTTTTCAGAGGGGGCTGGACCTGCAGCATGTGAAGCAGGGTCTAAGGGACGTGATTACTAAATTAGTCCACTGATTGGCTTGGCACAGTTCTGGGAGGGGATAATGGAAGCCCTCCCTGAGTATCAGCCTGGGCAGAGCACAAGTGAGAGAAGGAGGGCTGCTGGGACTGCCTGTGGCTTGCTGCTTTTCTTTCTTTGCTACCTCTGCCTGCCATGCAGTTTGTTCTCTCCAATGCTGCTCCGCCATGCTGCCCTGCCTGGGAGCCAGCCAACTATGGACTGAAATCTCTACCAACTGAATCAAATAGACCTTTCCTCCTTACTCCCCACCCCTTCCCCAGGTGTGATGGGTGTAAAGGACGAGGCTGGGGGCCAGCAAGGGCAGGAGCAGCACATTCCCACTGCCCATTCCCACTGCTCTCCCTGCCCATTCCCACTGCTCCCAGCTGTGCGTGGCTTCAGCGAGTGGCTCAGCCTGCCTTGTCATTCTGAGGGACCAGGTGTGCTCCCAAGGGGCCAAGCTGTCCAAGGAGCCCTGAGCAGCTCTCCATGCTGGAAGCAGCAGGCCACAGGTGCTGAGCAGGATGAGGGAGCAGGTGGCCTGGGGCACTGGAGGCTAACCACTGGCTCCCTGAGCCTAGTGCTAAGCATGGGCTCTGCGGGCCACACAGAGCGGGAACCTGCGGTGACTATCCCTGAGCCAGAGGCCTGGCCCAGCCCCTTAGGAGAGGAAGGAACCTGGCAAGAAGTGAGCCTTTGCCCATGTGGCATTGGAGGCTGGGGCAGCAGCCTGGAGGGGGCAGGAGAGGCTGGGGGACTTCCTGGCGGAGGGGACAGTGAGAAGCAGACACTCCCCTCTGACCTCAGAAGTGCTTTCTGGAGGGCTTCCATGCCAGGAGCAAGTGGGGAGGGGCTGTGTTTTCTTGGGTGCTATGGGCCCCCAACAGGCACAGCTCTCTCCCATCCCCAGCAGGGGTGGGGTCAGCCCTGGGTCAGGCCCAGGGCATTGCTACCTTCCTTCCCAGCTTCTTCCAGATCTCATGCAGTTGCTCTGCCCAGGCACGCAGCTTGACATCTGAGATCTTCTGCAGGAAATAAGGGCTGGAAGAACACCCCGCAGGGGTCAGGAGGGCGGCCTGCCAGCGAGGCCTTCTCTCGCCCTCTGTCCAGGTTATACCTATCTTTCCAGTCCTCAGGGGTCCAAGGCAGCAGCTCCTGTCCCACAGGCTGAAAGTATTGCTGGACAAACTCTTGCAGCTGCTGCTTGGGGATGCTATGGTTGTGGGCGGTGGCCAGGGCGCTGAAACTCCACAGGACCTGGTCTGGAGAGCAGGTGGCAGGGAGGGGTCAGGAGCGTCCCTAAGCCTGGTGTGATCAGAAGCATCTGCCATCTTTGGGTTAAAAGTTCAGAAGGTGAGATAGCCTCACCTGGAGCGTCAGTCAGTGACATATCCACAAACTGCTTGTCATCAGGGTAGAGCTTGGCCATCTGAACCTGATGCAGGAGCTCCCCGTGGCAGTAGATCTGGCTACAGAGACAGCAGAAGGAAAGCAGGTCAGAAGACAGGATAAGATTCCTGGGCAGACGGCTTGGGGTAGGTTCTCTGGGGCTGCGCAGGTGTGCCTGAAGCGCCTGTGTGCTATGGTGACAGTTTGCAGGTGGTAGCGACACACAGAGCTGGGAAGGAGCAGGGTACTTGTACAGTGTCAGTGCCTGTGCCAGCGCTGGCTGGTCTTTAGACACAGCACAGAGCACCTATGGCAGGAGGGAATTCAGCACTCTAATCAGCGACGCGTTAGAGGGCAGCAGGGACCAACTTTGCAGTGGCCTCGTGTGGAAGGGAGTGTGACGAAAGCCTGTGCATTGTTCCAGGTGGTTATTGCTGAGATCTTTGGCCAGAACCTGTGTAGATGTAGATGAAAGAGATACTCTCTGGGGGCTGGTGAGATGGCTCAGTGGTCTAAAGCACCTACTTAGAACAAGCTAAGCTAGGCTAAGCAAAAGCACAGCGACCACGGTTCAATCCCCAGCACCACATGCCAGCCAGCCCCGCCCCCTGGTGGGTTGAGCTGGCCACACACACACACACACACACAAAATAAATAAATAAATAAATAATTTTTTAAAAAAAGAATAGACTGAGAAATAGACCATAGGCCTGAAACTTCTGCTCAGGGACTAAACTCTCTGC